CAGATTAGACTGGAATTTGAACTGGAGTAGCAAACTAGACTGGAATTTGAACTCAAGTATCAAACTTGAATGGGATTTGAACAGAGGTAAGAGACTTGACCGGAATTTGAACTGGTGTAACAGACTAGAATGGAATTTGAACTAGAGTAGCAGTCTTGATTGGAATTTGAAATAACAGATTTGACTGGAATTTGATCGAAGTAAGGTAATATATAATATATATATATATATATATATATATATATATATATATATATATATATATATATATATATATGTTAGTTAATGGAACAAGGACAAACGAAAGTGTACCAATATAATCAGTACGATAAATATTTATTAAATATTAATTATTAACCATATAACAGAAATTAAGGCACGGAGAGAAAGGTTTTAAGATCGGAATTTTCGGACACGCCTGTGTCCTTCATCAAGAAATAGGAATTACTCACTGACAGATGTTTTTGTGGACGGTGTATTTTCTGGTCGAGATGTTAGTAAAAACCCGATCCCTGTCTGATTCCTCGGTATGCGAATCTTTTTATGAAAATAAAGTTAAATCTAAAATTATGATCGGTGTAAAAGCGTTAGGCAGGTCTATTATTACTAGTGTTGGAGTGAGATTTTAAACATAGATGAAGAGAGTTATAGAATGTGGAGGGGATGACGTCTCGCAAGTAGTAAGCTGTAGCAAAAATGGTCGGATCATGTTGTCAAGCGTAAAAAGATGGGCTCTGGTTAGAATAGAATGTGATGAAGAAAATGAGGAAGAAAAATGTAATATATAATAATAAAATATTATTAAATAAAATCCACTGAAAAGAAAAAAATTGACGGCTCAAAAAATGTATAAAAATTTGTAAATCTATTAACAAAAAAAAAAGAAGAAAATAAAAATAATGGTAAAATTACGAAATTCAATGGGACGCAGCTTCGAATCCTGCCGAAGGGGTATATATATATATATATATATATATATATATATATATATATATATATAGGCACCTCGAAAAAGAAACGATATTTTAGTTTTAATTTCAAATTAATGGATTAAACTTAATATTTACAATAATCAAAATACTTTGCTCTATTTCAAACTGAATTAAAATTGATTGGAATCATTTTTTGTATTATCATTCAAATCGATGAAATCATCCTAATTGCCAAATCTGCCAAGACAACATAACTCTCTATATTAAAAAATCTTTTCAGAATCGTTAGTTGAAAAAAATCAGCTGTTTCGTTTAATGAATCTGTATTGAAACAAGTATCGCAGAAAAGTATTTTTTTAACAGAGGTGTGTGTTTTTATGAGGCATTAACAGTTTTGTCGACAGCTTGATGCTTTGTAAATTTAAATAAAGAAGAGACAGTTGTAATAAAATTACACGACGAATACAATGTAGAAGCTTTTTTATACAATATTTTTAACTACCCAGTAATGTTTTTAAAATTCATTTTTTTTAAACCTTCCAATATTTTATTGAATTTTAGGGACTTGAACTTTATAGACCTACTTACAAAGACGCTTGTTGAGGAAATATTAGAAAATTAGCAATAAATGCTAAATTTATTATAGTTACTGGACTTATTTTCTGATAATGTATATATATATATATATATATATATATATATATATCATTATTTACAAAAATCGGCACGTTTATGCGCACAAAAAGTAAATTCAAAATTCTTTTTAAAATACTGGGGTCGCTGAATTTTATAATAAATTCAATTTATATTGAATTAAACATCATTTGACCGGTAGAAATTAATACAGAATTTTAACACATTTAAAAGTTTATAAATTATTCTAATAAGTTTTTTGTTTTTAATTAAAATAATTCTTGTAAAATTCATTATTCATCGAAAAAATGAATTCATAAAACAATAGTGCCCATAATATATTTTATACATAAAAGCAATTAAAAGCTTTTTTCTAATTGAATAATGCCTTACTTTTATTGCATTTATTATTTCAGTGCAAATTTTTTGTAATTGGGGATCCTGTTTGACTAAAAAATTTCAAGGTTTACATTTTCCGAGGACTTGTACTTATAACTAATATAAACATTAAGAACAGAATTTCTCGAAATTTCATAAAATTAAATAAGTGGGGGGAGAGGCGTACAAATGTAAAAAAAGATTTTCTAAAAGAGAAACATTTTAAAAAATTATTTCATTCATTTGTGACTAAGTCCTGAAAGTTTCATTAAAATCCAACAATTATCTGATTTTTTGCAAGAATTTCCAAATCAATGTGTCTTCACCGTGTTGTAACTGAGTTACCTCCTCCTTAATTCCCAAATTGTCACTAGGCGTCTCTCTCCCCATACTATAAATACCGGGCGACTTCTTGCCTCGATTTCTCTTTTCCTTCAGGTCTCGTGCCGCATCCCACCTCACGTGGAGGTGAGGTAAATCCTCTTTTTCATTTCTTTATTTCAGCGACTACAATATAAGCTCTCTTAGAAATTCGCGTCTTCCCATTTGTAGGAGACGTCATGAACATTATACACACATACACATACGTACGAACAGTCACCAAAATACGAACATTCACCAAAGAACAAACACCAATGTTCCACACACACACACACACACACACACACACACACACACACACACACACACACACACACACACACACAAATGTTACTGTCCATTGTAAAATTGTTTTGTATAATACATATATTTGTTTATATATTTGTTTTATATATATATATATATATATATATATATATATATATATATATATATATCGGTGTTGTTTGTCATCTTTATCATCAGTTGGACTTAATTCCGCCATTTTCTTGTAGTTGAACCTTCTTCTAGCAGGAAAAATAAACGCACGTGTTTTCTTTTCATCTTCACCCTGCGATCCTCTCCAAAGAACAGTAGGAAACCGGAATTGGTTTAACAAAAAGTTTATTGCCTTTTGGTACAGGGAAACATAATGTAGAATAAAAACCAGGAAAGAGAACGTTTAGCCGTGAATGACTGTTTTCAGGCAAAATCTGCTACTGCTCCTCCCGATACTCCTCTTGATGTAGGAGTATTTTTCTGTCTTTTTTCCGACGGCCGAATCCAAACTTGTAGGGAAATATTCTCCCTCACAACACACCGCAAAAAAAGAGGCTAAAATTTCCCGCTGACGCCAGAAAAATAACCTTTTTAACCACAATTTTGACGGTTCTAAAAATGATTAAAACATAAATTTTAAATAAAAAATCAGAAGAAACTTCAACTGGAAGAAAAAAGGAAAAAAAATTCTTTGGTGTTACGTCAGAAATCACAGATTATTGAATAACTGAAGGAAGCTCCTAATTCATTGAATTTGCAAATTAACAAACAAGGATTGCAGAATCTGAACGAAACACTAAAACTTGCGCTTAAAGATAATCCATTGAATCCTTTAAGCTCGGATCACTTAGAAAGAATGGATAAATGAAGACGCTAATGAATTACAAAAGAATACAATTGTAGAATTGATCCAAAATGTTTTGGATTGTCAGGAAATAGAGGAAGAATTAGATTCTTTTGATAATGGTAAAAATATGAAGGATGATGAAGTAGAGAAAGCTATTTATGAGATCATCAAATTGATGGAGAAAAACCTTTATTCAGTTGTCCAAAACGTACAAGTGCATGTAATTTTTTAGTACTAATGTACTAATGTAGTACTAATTAAAGAATTATTAATATAAAAATATAAAATATTAATTAGTACTAATGTAGTACTAATGTAGTACTAAAAGAATTATTAATATAAAAATATAAAATATTAATTAGTACTAATGTAGTACTAATTAAAAAATTATTAATATAAAATATTAATTAGTACTAATGTAGTACTAAATAAAGTATTATTAATATAAAATATTAATTAGTACTAATGTAGTACTAATTAAAGAATTATTAAGATAAAAATATAAAATATTAATTAGTAGTAATGTAGTACTAATTAAAGAATTATTAATATAAAATATTAATTAGTGCTAATGTAGTACTAATATAGTAATAATTAAAGAATTATTAAGATAAAAATATAAAATATTTAATTAGTACTAATGTAGTACTAATGTAGTAATGTAGTTGTACTTTAAAAAAACTAGCACAGCGTAAAGTAATGAGAAAAAGAAAGAAGAAAGACATTTAAAAATAAAACATTAAGCATTAAAAATTGCAAATTATTATTTACATTCCTGAGACACTTAATTTTTTATATATTGCGATAAGTTCTTGTTTTGTTAAGCTAAACTTATATCCGAACTCCTCCTCATAGCCGAACTAATCTGAAGTTCCGAGATGAGGAATTCTACTTTTACGGTTAGAGCTTCAAGTACCTAAATCTTGACAGAAACTGCTGTTTTTCTTCTTGTAAAATCTTCGCTAAAACGATATTAAGAAGAAAATCTCAAGAAGTCAAAGTTCTTCATTTTTGCCGAAACTACCGAAACTACAGCCCAAAACTGCCAAAAACTACAGCCAAAACAAAAACGTTATTCAAAAGAAAAAAAAAAAAAACAGCAATCGTAACTTTCTATCGTCGCCTCAATCTCCAGACAAATTATTGAAAGATATATTTTTCATTCTATTTCTTGACCGCCGAATCGTAAATGACAACCAATTATATACAAATATATAATAATAGGCGGAGACGTCTCTCCTACGCACCTCCCACCCCTGCTGCTGACGCGACAGACGCGTGGCCGAAGTAGTGTCAGGGTCGGCAGAAAGTAACGTCAAGAACTTAGATATTAGCCTTACTGTCAGGTGTATGTCATTATTAAACCACCAGATGGAGATGAATCGAGAACCCGTGACTTTTCCCTCTCTACCCTGACCAACATCTCCGTGTGTCAATCCTCGATCCCTCATCTTAGAGATCCAGTAAAAAGTAATTAGTATCGTAGAGATTTCTTGTACGCTTCTATATAACGATTTAAAAAGCAAAGAATAAATAAAATGAAACAAATAGAAGCAGCTTGCTTTTTCTGTATGTCTTTTTCTATATCTATCTATCAAATAAATCTATCTCATTCTGTTTATTATCTATCTATCTATCTATCTATCTATCTATCTATCTATCTCAGTCTGTTCACACACACACACACACACACACACACACACACACACACACACACACATATATATATGAACAGATTCTGTTTATTATCAATCTATCTCATTCTATCAATCTATCTCTATCACAATCTTTGAATATCTATCTATCTATCTATCTATCTATCTATCTATCTATCTATCTCAGTCCGTTCATATCTGTCTCTGGCTATCCATCTATCTCGCTATCTATCAGTCTGTTCATATCTATCTATCTCATTCTGTTTATTATCTATCTATCTCAGTCTGTTCATCTATCTATCTATCTATCTATCTATCTATCTATCTATCTATCTATCTATCAGTCTGTTCATATCTATCTCATTCTGTTTATTATCAATCTATCCATCTCACTTTTTTTATCTATTTGTTCATATCTATCTATCTATCTATCTATCTATCTATCTCAGTCCGTTCATATCTCTATCTATCTATCCATCTATCTAGCTATCTATCAGTCTGTTCATATCTATCTATCTCATTCTTTTTATTATCTATCTATCTATCTATCTATCTATCTATCTATCTATCTATCACAGTTTCTTCAATATCTATCTATCTATCTATCTATCTATCTATCTATCTATCAGTCTGTTCATATCTATCTCATTCTGTTTATTATCAATCTATCCATCTCACTTTGTTTATCTATTTGTTCATATCTATCTATCCATGTATCTAGCTATCTATCAGTCTGTTCATATCTATCTCTCATTCTTTTTTTTATCTATCTATCTATCTATCTATCTATCTATCTATCTATCTATCTATCTATCACAGTTTCTTCAATATCTATCTCTCTATCTATCTATCTATCTATCTATCTATGTTTCTTCGTCAAAACGCAAAACTTTCGAAAAAAAACACAGTTGCTCTTTATAGAGTTGTATAACTTGAGTTCTTTTTCTTTGATGCGTCATGTCTCTTAAGGATGTAGGCATGTGGACATGGTTCTCTACAACTTCCTATCATTTGTTGCTCTAAGTAGTGTTTGCCCCCCCTACTATCACCCCAGCCCCTATTGTACCTTACATTTACATAAGATCGTTAGGTAGGCTAGTCACTGTTCCACCCTGTCCCTTTTGCTTTCAATGTGTACTGTGAGTGTCACATTCTCTATGCCTTCTTTCTTCATTTGCATAATCCAAGCAATTTCGACTGTCTCTTTCTTATCCCAAATAGAAGTCACCTTTTTTATTACCATTTTCTTTAAAACTCCCTCGTTGCTCACATGTTCCGTCCAGGGTATTATCAGCATCTTTTTGTAGAAACACGTCTCCGTTGCCTCAAGTTTCTCCATCATACGTGAGGAAATTGTCCAGCATTCACTGCCATATAAAATGGCTGGATATCGAAAGCCGCCGTCCCGGGTATGACGATAAACTACATCCGCGTCCTGGGTATAACGATAATCTACGTCCAACAGCAAGGCCTCTGATCAGGTTTTGAGGAACGTGGAACCACCTCTTATTTGATGGTGTTCCCAGGTCCACCCTAACCCGGGGTGGTAGCACCTGTTAGGGTCCCTGCTATGGGCAAATAGTTAACCCCGAAAATGGGGTAAAAACACTATGAAAGTGTAAAAATAGGTTTAATACCAGAAATACTTTGTAAAAATTATTATCAACAATAAATTTTTGAAGAAAAAAAAATCTTTTGAAAAAAACCATTACCAATACATTTTTGAAAAAAAATATTACCAGCAATAAGTTTTTGAAAAAAAAATATTACCATCAATACATTTTTTGAAAAAAAATTATTACCAGCAATACATTTTTGGAAAAAATGTTACCAGCTATACATTTTTGATGGAAAAATATTACCATCAATACATTTTTTGAAAAAAAATTATTACCAGCAATACATTTTTAGAGGAAAAAGTTACTACCAGAAATAGATTTTTGGCAAAACAAAATATTGCCGGCAATAAAGATTTTGTCGGCATTAAATAACCCATTGAGGATGCCGTAAAACAAACCCAACCAAATCAAACCAATCGAAAGCCGATTTTTACGGTACTATATACAATGTGGACATAGAAAACAATATACCATGGTAGCACAATTTCATGTCTTAAGCAATCTTCAGATCACCTTTCAATAGTAATTGCCCATGGCTTTCAATATCAGCTGCTGGGGAAGTAAGGGAACTTCTGGAGGGTCTTTATCACTTTTGTTGTTTAGGACTAAATGCTATAAGTTATGTAAATTCATGAACTTCAGTTTGAATATTTTATTTATTTACTAGCTTAAAAGTCTGCACAGAGTGAGGTTTTTAAGTTAGCTCCTGCAGAGGGCCAATTGGGCCCCCGGTCCAAAATTAAAAGTACCTCTACTCCAGCTTAGAAAACAGCAGTTTTAAAGAATTAACTTTGAATTCCTCAATTCACTCCAGGAAACTTCAAAACCTTTAACTTTGATTCAGGGTATAAATCCAATTCCGGCCAAAAGACCGATTTGAGCCGAAAATTCGATTTGGGCCGAAAATCCGATTTGGGCCGAAATTTCAATTTAGGTCGAAAACTGAGTTCTTCAAATCACAAACTTCGTGGAATTTCAAATGAGTTGTGTTCTTCAAATCAAAAACTCTGCAGAACTTTTGTCCTCATCTTTCTCGCCATATTTAACGTTTCGGTCGTTGTATGCTCCGGCCTTCTTCAGGTTGTTAGAATGTCGAACTGAACCCTTTATTTCGCTCACTGGGGTAGACTGTTCTAGGTCCACGTGCCATGTCTTAATGGATGTCAGTTGTCAGTTATCTCCTGTTAATTCCCCTCTCCATGTTCTCCAAGTTCTATTGAACTCACACTCTTTGGGTCCTGTCACTGGATCTAACCAACACCTTTATCCACTTGAGAATACATGGCACAGTGGATAAAGGCGTTGGAGAACTTGCATAGGGGAATTAACAGGAGATAACTGATAAGTGACCTCCATTAGACATGGCACGTAGAACTAGAACAGTCTACCCCAGTGAGCGAAATAAAGGGTTCAGTTCGACATTTGAACCACCTGAATACGGCCGGAGCCTACAACGGCCGAAACGTTGTAATAAATATGGTGATAAAGATGAGGACAATAGTCCTAATAATGTAAATAGTGTACATAATACCTCATCTCAGAAATATAGACAGCTTCTGCAGAACTTCAAAACCTAATGTAATGAAACCTCTCATTTTAAATCTGATTCCTTGGCATTTTGAAGAAATAAAATTGATTTCCTCAATTCACAAAGTTTTGGAGATATTTTAATCTGAATTTAAGACAAAAAAATTTAAATTCACAATGTTTTTATGTTAACTCAATATAAATCAAAACATTTAAAATCACTAATACTTTTCAGTCATTTTAAAATTTGAATTTCTGTTTCTCCTCATCCGGACATAAATCTCAATGGTGGATTAAGCACCAGATAAAGAGAAGATTTTCAATCCCATAATCATCCTGATTCCAAAAAGATATAATATGTCTATGTCGAGCAGTGGAACTCAAACTTTTTTTTTCTGGGTCGCATTTTCGGAATGAAAATTTGCTTGCGGTTCACCAAATTTTATGTGATAAAAATTACATTTAAAAATAAAAAGCAGAGAGAGAGTTAAAGGGAAATAACTGTGGATTCAAATTCTGAACATTATCATTGATAACTCTCTCCTCAAATTTGCAGAGCCTAATTACTATATTCTTAATACTTGATATAATGCAAAAATATCACAATGATAAAATCGATCAATAATTATTTATAACTATTTAATACTGGGACTCATGCATAGAATTACATGTAATCCATAATGATATTTTAAATTTTGAAATCATATTTATTTTTGGCATATGATTTTTTTGAAACTGTTTCTAACTCTTTGATTGTTTTTCAATCATTCCGCCTCACCTGCTATCTTCTTCCACCTCACCTGCTATCCTCTTCCGCCTCACCTGCTATCCTCTTCCGCCGCAGCTAGGAAGCGCGACGCACCCTTTGGGAACCATTTGCAGAGGTTTCAGACGCATGGGCACACTGACATAATTTACTGTTTATTTATTTAGAAGAAATTTTATATATTTTATTTATTTATTTATGTGTTCTGCATAATTTTGATTTCATTCTAAATTTTCGAATTTGAAATAGTTTATTCAATGTAGGCTATGACATTGATTTTAGTCTTTTTGGTTATACTGTGGACATTTTTTTTTTTTCGTAGGTCCTTCAATATCAGAAAATCGTTTATTTTAAAACGCTTATTCTACAGATATGACTCGACCGATATTGTGTGCTGCACGCTTTCCTTAAACTTCAGGCATTATCATGCTCTCTATCTCCCCCTCTCTCTCTCTATCTCACTCTCCCCCCTCTCTCTTCCCTCTCTCCCCTCTCTCTACCCTCTCTCTCCTCCTCTCTCTCTATCTCCCTCTCTCTCCCTCTCTCTCCCCTCTCTCTCTCTCCCTCTCTCCCCCTCTATATCCCCCCTCTCTCTATCTCCCCCTCTCTCTCTCTCTATCTCTCTCCCCTCTCTCTATATCTCTCTCTCTCTCCCCTCTCTCTCTCCCCTCTCTCCCCCTCTCTCCCTCTCTCTCCCCCTCTCTCTCCCACTCTCTCTCTCTCTCTCTCTCTTCATAAAATCATATTCCCCTATTACAGGATGCATTTAATCATTGCTAATTATCACTTTAAGACTCGATTAACGAAACGTGATCCTTTGATCGGAAAATATGACGTTATCGGATTAAAAAAAAAAAAAAAGTTTGAATATTTTCCTCCATCTTTTGATGGATATGTTTTGGCTTTTTTTTTTATGCTTCTGGTTTTAAAATCATAACGCCGCCTTAACGACAGCAACAACAACAAAATGAAAAAAGATTTGTGACTGATTTGTGAAGAGGAAAAGAGTGACAAATTCGATGTCGGCATTGGTCTTGGGAGACATGTCTTAATCCAAAGTCAGCAAGACAAGATGAATTAAAAGAAAATGTTGCAAAATATCCCCCTCCCTACAAAAAAAATAAAAAATAAATAAAAATAAACGCAGATTAATCTAAATATGATTTTAAGTATATGAAGACTTTTGGGCCTTCTATTATTATCGCTGCCTTCCATCCTCTCTAAAAAAAAAAAAGAAAAAAAAATAATTACCTAGTTTCTTTTCTTCCGTCTTTCTTGTTTTCATTTACTTCCCTCCCTTTCAATTCTTTTTCTTTCTCTTTTCTCTTCCTACCTTCCTTTTTTTCTGCTTTCTTTTACCGCCATTTTCTTTCTTCCTTCAGTTCTTTCTTTCATTTTATTTTCCTTCTTTCTTTTACCTTTCTTTCAGTCTTTTTTTTCTTTCTTTCCTTTTATTTTCCTTCTTTCTTTTAAATCTTTCTTTCTTTTTATTTCTTTTGCAATGCCCGTTTGCAGGAGAGACTTTGTAAATCACAGATACAACAATAGTATATATATGTTTTTTTCTTTACTCATCACGTGATCTAATTATTTCAAGATGAAGTCGACTGTGCTTGCTCTCAAGTGATCCGTGTTCAAACCCAAGTGTCGGCAGCGACTCTTCATTCCTATATGACAATTTCTATTTTTCTTTGAATTTTTTTTTTTATTTCCCGTCTTCCTTTTAACTTTTTTCCTCCCATTCATTTTATTTTCATTCTTCCTTTGAACTTTTCTTCTTTCTTTCTTTTCACTTTTTTATTTCCCCCTCTTGTTTGAATTTTTTCTTTCTTTATTTCATTCTTTGAATTTCTTTCTCTCCTTCTTCCTTTAATTCTATTTTCCTTCATTCATTGTGTTTTCTTTCTTTCTTTCTTTACCTTATCCAATCGAAAAGACTTTCGTAATTTAAGTCACACGTTTAATAGTTTTATCAGTTCTCTGGCGAAGTCTTGTTATTTGCCCTAACAACAATCTACTATTCCGAACTAAATTTGTAATAGACTCCGTTTTTTTTACTTTTTGAATGTTCTCTGCGCAGCCATATCTGTTATTGTACATCTGAATGATTCGACCTGCTTATAAAATGCTTTGTGAAAAGTCTTTTTTCTTCTACTTCTTAATATTGTCTTTCACCAGCATTAATGTTACAATTGTCATTTTATTGAAATTTCTACAGTTGTTACAAGAGAATGAAAACATATCGACTTAAACAAGAACATTGTTGATTTTCTTTTCATTTATCCTGTTGTATATTTTTCTCTAATATTTACTTTCTTAGATTCATTTAATTGATTTGCTCTATATTTGTTTTAGCAGAGAGAATAAAAATATATATAAGAAACGAAGAAAAAAAACTGCCGGGAAAAATCTATGCAACAAGGTATTAAAAAAAATGATCGTAAAAACTTGCCATCTGAATTCTCCCAAATAATTCCCACTTAAAACAACACGCGCCTCTGTTGGCTGAAGAGGGACTGGTCTGATGACTCATCAGTACGTCTGTAACCATAGTTTATTTCGAGTTGGTAAACACCTTGATATGCGTTGTTCGGTAATGGCTCGGAATGAGAACTAGGAGAGCCGAGTTCAAATTCCAGTCGACTTTGTTATATTCACTGATGCACAAATACCCTTGGGAAAGGTCTGAATCTATCTCTTCTACCCCAGCTATGGTTTGAATAGCAGGACAGACTAGGTTCTTTAGCCTTGGTTGGCAACTAGTCTACCACAGAAAGAAATGGCAAAAAATCCTCAGGAAAAAAATCTGCCATGTCAGTCATATATCGAAAGGGACTTGATCGCCCGAGTGTCACGTGTGACACTTAACCCTAGAACATTAACCATCAATTAAAGTTACAACTAACCATGGGTATATCATACCCGATTTGAGTACTTCGACGTGGTGTAATGGTTAGCAAGCATGTCTCGCTAGAACCATTACAACTAAGTAGTGAGTTCAGTCCTCACTGAGTGCCCCATGCTTTCGGCCTTGAGCCATATCTAAGCTGCGCTTAGAAAATCATTTGGGCACCTCGACATGGTGTAATGGTTAGAGAGCATGTCTTGCTAGATCTATTACAACTGAGTAGTTAGTTCGATTTTCACTGGGTGCCCCATACTTTCGGCCTTGTGCCACATCTAAGCTGTGCTTAGAAAATCACGATATCATACCCGATTGAAAAAAAAATATAAATCTTTATTTGAAATATTTTCCATGCAGACACTTCAAACTTTGTACTTTGAGTTAACATTAATAGAACTGAAAAGATATTTAGGTAAGAAAATTAGGTACTGAAAATTGTAATTGAAAATAGGAAATTTTGCGCTGGGTACTATATACCCATGCTTAGTGTTCTGGGGTTAACGGACTGAAACACAAAGGATGAAAATACTATCAGAGAAGATCTCACACTTTTTGTAAAGGTGATCCACGTAAAACTTCAGTTAGTTACTGGTAGTTCATTAGATGGTGCTCTATTAATATATGCCTTGCACCAAGCTTAGACTATTTTCTCTATAAAGCCCAACGGACGAAAATAAGAGTCCCCGTTCAAAATTTCCTCGGTGTTTATCGAGTGCTAGATACGCTTACGGAAAACCAAAAATAAGGATTCTTGTCTAAAAAAAGAATTATTTAATACCAATATTAACTATTGGGAAGTATTTTAACAGATGATGTTAAATGACACACGAAAAAATTCAAAAATGCCTTTCAAAAGCTAATCAAAGTATAAAGAGACATGAAAATTTCGTTAGAACCATAGAATAGAATCCTGAAATATTACGTAAAATCAAACCTACAATATAACAGTGAATGCTGTAAATTTCCTCACAGATCATTTTTTTCTTTTTTTTTTTTTACCAATGTTCACCCTATACAAGACCCAAGAGCCAGTCGAGGTAGAAGGTTACTGAATGAGTTTGTTGTGAAAAAGGTAAGGGTCGCAGCTTATGAAGTGAACGTATATGGAAAAGATAACGGTTAATCCTAGACTTGAACAGGTTAAGATTGAAGTGGTCGGGAAGCATCCTCTTGGGAGTCGATTCCACAAAGTAGAACTTACTTCTCAGTAAGGATATTGAAAATACCAAGAATTCCATAAGAATCATGTTGAATGTCAGTTGAAAGTCCTAAATCGCTTGAGCTCGATGACCATGGTTTCTCAGTATCCGATGGCTGTATAGTCCAACGTACAGCAACCTTGTGCTATATTCGGGCCGGAAGTCATGTGTCTGTAAATGGCGGACAACACTGACTTCTATATTTAATAAGCACAGTTAAAATGGATCACCTATTCTGGGTTCAAAAATTATGACCAGTCATTGTAATTCTTTTTTCTTTTTTTCTTTTTTTTTTTAATATATTTCGGCATTTCAATGTCACTGTACTATCAGATATTTAAATTGAAAGAAAAAAGGAAAAAAAATGTAGAACTTTTTGTGCAACCTTGTCGTTGTACCGATTAATAAAAACGCGAGACTGGATTACTAATTTCAACTGACATTAAACATATTTCTTATGGCATTCGGAAAGTAATTACGTATTTCCCTGTTTTGAGTCAACTAACCAAATCAGAACCAAAGTTAAATGGTAGGAAACGGCTCTTAGAATTAATTTATCATATTTTCTATGTAACACTTTCAGATTTAAATTGGGGAAATCTACAAATAGGGAAATTGGGTTTCTCATTTGCTTTCACGTGAGAAAGGAACACAACGTTCTAACATATTTAATAAATTTTACTTTTAACCATTCCATTTCTTTCATGACATTGTTACAAGTGATGAAAAATGGGTTTTGCATAACAAGAGATATTAAAAACGACAGTGGTTATCACAAAATACCTTTCAAACCCATCCCTTTTGTCAGAAAAACAGGGGACATATTGCATAGTTTATGACCGTATATTGAAACAGCACCCAGGAAAAGTATTATGTTTTTGGAAAGTAACATTATTGTTGATTCCCACTCCCAAACAGGCTAACAGGCGCGTATTTATCTTTTTTTTTCATTTTTTTTTTTTTTTTGAGAGAGAGAGGAAGGGCTCCCCCGAGGTTAGACCCTACATTCTGGCGTGAATCCAACCGCCTACCCCTCTCTATTTTCCCTACGCGTCTACATCCTAGGCGCAGCTCGGTCTACCACATGTTCACCTATGAGGATCACCCACAGTTATCCGGTGAGACACGGATCTACACTTAGTGTCTAGGAGGTTATCCTCTTGGTCAAACCTTCTATACACCTGGTTTCTCTGGCGGCAAACTGTGTAAAATGCATATTCTGGTATCAGTTGGAGTGAGTTATATACTTACAGTAAAAGACATTTAATGATTTCATTTCAAGAAAGGCAATAAAGCCGCTAAGCCGCAAATGTAAGGGGGGCGAACAATAAGAGAACAGGAATTAAGAAGACAGAAAATGATGAAAAACAATAAATTTGAAATGATGAAGATCAAAGTGGACAGGAAAGCAAGAATCCGGAAGAGAGTTTTACAAGTGGGAAGTGCGTGAGAAGAAACTGTTAACATAGAACTTTCGGTTTCATTTAGCAATTTTAACTGTAAAATGATGAGATCTTGCAACCAATCTAGTAAAAAAAAAAAAAATGAAAACAGGTATAGAATATGAAGATAACAATTAATAACCATCATTATTATCATCATTATCCTGGGAATAACCTTTAAGGGTGTTCCCCTACTCCCTTCATAAATAGAAAAACAACCGCTCTTTAAAATCAAAATAGCGAGATAAGATATTAGTTCTTTAGCATAAGCCATCAGTTAATGCTGACGTACTGAGAATAAATAATAATTTAGGAATACAGGAACAACATTAAAAAATACGGGGCTTCAATCAGATATTAAAAAAGTTAGCGATGCTAAGTCAGATATATTGAATTTTAAAGATTATTGACTTACGGGCATATCACGTTTAAAGGCTATTTCTTGTACGATCATTGAAGTTAAGCAATGTTGAGCCCAGTCAATACCTAGATGGGTGACTATTTTGGAATACCATGTGCCGTAAGCTTGGAATTTTGGTTAGTTTAATGGATAACGGCCTGGAATTCGAAATCGCAGTTGGCTTCGTTATATTCGCTTCCATGCAAATACCATTGGGAAAGGTATGAATCCACCTCTTCTCTCCCCAGCTATGGGTTAATTATTAGAACCTTTATCCGTAAATTATTAATATCTAAAAAAATCTCTTAGAATCTAAAAACTCGGGGTTTTACTCAGATAGTAAGAGATTAATGGTGCTATTGTAAAATTTCAAAAAACTTATTGGCGTACAGCCATAACACGTTGAAAGAGCAGTTCTCGTACAATCATTGTAGTTAAGTAATGTTGAGCCCGGTCAGTACCTAGATGGGTGACCATTTGGGAATACCATGTGCTGTAAGTTTTTGAATTTTGAGTGGCTTACAGCCATAACGCGTTGAAAGACCAGTTCTCATACGATCATTGAAGTTAAGCAATGTTGAGCTTGATCGGTGCCTAGATGGGTGACCGCTTGGGAATACCACGTGCTGTACACTTGGATGTGCGGGTGGTGTAATGGGTTGGAATACGAAATTTTTCTAGGGTTCGTTATATTCCCTTCCGCGCACATACCCCTGGGAAAGTTATGAAATGCACCTCTTTAACACCCCGCTATGGGTTAATTATAAGGACCTGGTTTGGTAAATTATTATCCCCCCACCAAATTCTTGCAATCTAATTTTCTGACTTTAAAAGGTTGATAAGCCGTAAGAAAGCAAATCAATCATTCAAGCAATTTAAATATTCTTGATTCTATATGTTTGCATCTGATTTTCTCATACAATGAATATATTTTTTTAGATATGTGATGTGGGGCCAAAGTTGGGACCACAGAAGGAAAACACAGAACACGGATTAAATGTAAGAAAGATATATTAACAGCAGGTTACAGAGATAGTGTTAGCGGAGCTTACTATATGTTAGTGTCCAATACTGGTAGTCGTACTAGACTCTCACTGTCACTCTCTGTCACTCTCTAGAGTGCTATGTCGCCTACTTAATATAGGCCTGGAAGAGTCTATTGTGTAGGTAGTTTCCGGTCTCACAATAATATGTTATCCTAACGAGCGGTTGAGTTCAATGGATATCGGCTGGGAAATGAAATACCGGAGAACTGAGATCGAATTCCCGTCGGGTTCATTACATTCATTTACACGTAAATACTCTCGGGAAAGGTATGAATCCATCTCTTCTCTTCTCAGCTATGGGTTGAACATCAGTACAGATTGAAATCTGTGGCCTTAGTTGGCAATCAGTCTGCTGCAGAAAGAAACGGCTGCCTCCCGCAGGAAAATCTTCTGCCTCGTCAGTCATTAATCGGAAGAGACATGATCGCCCAAGCGTTGTATCACATGTGGCACTCGACTTTATCTTAATGTAAACATTTCAAATACATATTTGTTTGCTGTTTATTTGTACTTATTTTCTAGAATGAAACCCAATTACTTTTTTTTTCCGCTTATGGTATACATATATAAGAGTTTTAGAAGTTAATGTTACGTAAACAAAAAGGTAAAGAAAGGTTTCTAATTTATTTTAAAAAGTAATGGCATTAATGGCTTTAAACTAATCATACACCTCAGTTCAATAGCACTGTCAATGATTGATACCAAGATAACATATTTATTCTGTTTGGTTTTTCCCAAGCAAAAAGACGGGGTGGCCGTAGCTCTGTCATGGACAACCTTTTTTAAGCAGTGGACTGCATGATCTATGGCTCATCACAGGGTCGCCCTGTGTATGACGATAAACTCAATCAGGCAGTAAAGCCTCTGAGCAGTGAGTTCTGAGGAGCATGGGAACACATTATAATTGCTGTTTTTCCCAGGTCCACCCTGATCCAGTGTGGTAGCACCTGTTAGGGTCCCAGCTATGGGCAAATAGTAACACCCAAACTGGTGTTAGATCATATGATAGTATAAAAATTACTTATTTTTTTACAGAAAATTCACACTGTACAAGGCCCGGGAGTCACTCGAGGTAGAGGGTTACGTTTGGTAGGCAATTTGTGTGTATAGGAGTGGAAGATAACGATTAACCCTAGCATTGAACAGGTTAAAATTGTAGTGATTGGGGAAACATCCTCTTGGGAGTCAGTTCCACAGAGTAGTGGTTCGCGGGAAGAAGCTTTTCGAGTGGAACTTTAATCTCCCCGATTGAATACGGGAGGAATATGGATGGTTTGCTATTATGTAAGTGGCATGGCTGTTTATACTAAAATCAATATATTTTCATAGTAAAAAGATTACCGGCAATAATCTTTAAAAAATGACCATCAATACATTTTTGTAAAAGAAATTACTAATGCTCCCCACCCCCAAATAAATTTCGGCATTAAATGACACATAAGGATGACGCTAAACAACCAAAACAAAACAAAACAACTCATCATCAGGCGGGCTGCATTGCTAATTCAAGTTAATTTTACGTAGTAGTGACCTCAACTATTTTTACTACAGATGACCATATGCGTAATCATATACCTTAAAAATGGAGTAAAAGGTTTTGTTTTCTTGGTGAGAAAAAGATTTTTCTATAATCAAAGATTATTTTTAAAAGAAATTCTTGGTAACATATTATCAGTGATAACACGGTGATTAACACATGTCGCTGCGTGTGATTTGAAAATTTGAAAAAATATAAACAGTGCAACCTCGATTCTCAAACGTCTCATATGCCAAACAAATCGGTTTTCGAACAGAAAATTCGTGATTAAAATGCCTCGGTTATCGAACAAAATTTCGGTTCTCGAACAACATAGCCGAACGGAGTTAACCCGAACGGAATCATTTCTGAGTCGACCGCCGTGTTGTATACATTCGTGTGTTGTGTTGTGCTTTTCTTTTCCAATTTTATTGTACTGTGACATTTTATTCTCTACATTCATTCTTACTGGAAAAATAGTTTCGGTTTACGAACATTTCAGGTTACGAACGGCCTTCAGGAACGAATTAAATTCGAGAACCGAGGTTCCACTGTATTTCTTCTCTAGAAAAAAAAATTAATGTGAATGTTTCCTGTTTCAAAAACAAAAAAGAAAAAATATGTTTACACGTATGATCTTCCTTAGTGAAAATCGCCAATGGTCTAAAAAAACTAAAAACGCAATGCAGACTTGGCTCTTTAGCTTTGGTTGGCAACCAGCTAGGAGAATGATAGATTTGAATTCAAAACTGTGGAGAAGGCAGTGGGAAACTACACCTTTACCCTTCCCAAGAATTCATAGCAAGTCACAAATAATAATGGAAACTGTGGAGAGTCATGATTGCCTAAATCCTGAAAGGTCATAGCATTGAATTTTTATCGGTTTTATTGTTGAAGGCATCTCGGCCTGGGGTAATGTTTTTACAAGTCTAGTCTGGTTGAATATTAGTAGTGAATTAGACCTTTTCCGAATGCCTTTTACAAAATTCGATATTGAAATATTTCCCAAATGCTCAGCATTGTCGTAAAATAAACCAATCGAATATTACTGTTGCATTTTGGTGAATGGTAGTTGGATGGTAACGGACGGTGACTGGTAGTTGGATGGTATCGGATGGTGACTGGTAGTTGGATGGTATCGGTCGGTGACTGGTAGTTGGATGGTATCGGACGGTTGGTAGTTGGATTGTATCGGTCGGTAACTGGTAGTTGGATGGTATCGGACGGTTGGTAGTTGGTTGGTATCGGTCAGTGACTGGTAGTTGGATGGTATCGGAAGGTTGGTAGTTGGTTGGTATCGGTCGTTGACTGGTAGTTGGATGGTATCGGACGGTTGGTAGTGAAATGGTATCGGTCAGTGACTGGTAGTTGGATAGTATCGGATGATGACTGGTAGTTGGATGGTATCGTATGGCGACTGGTAGTTGGATGGTATCGGTCGTTGACTGGTAGTTGGATGGTATCGGACGGTTGGTAGTTGGATGGTATCGGTCAGTAACTGGTAGTTGGATGGTATCGGACGGTTGGTAGTTGGTTGGTATCGGTCAGTGACTGGTAGTTGGATGGTATCGTATGGTGACTGGTAGTTGGATGGTATCGGACGGTGATTGGTAGTTGGATGGTATCGGACGGTGACTGGTAGTTGGATGGAATCGAATGGTGGATCAGATCCAATATGGGATTAGTGTGTTACAAGTTTGGGGGACACCAACAAATATATCTTTCAAAGAAAGAAATTCATATAATTGAGTTTGATTCGTCTTGCATATTTTTAATCATTAACTACGGATTGGTTGATTTTGTTTAGCGGCATAACAACAGCTCCATGGGTTATTTAATGATGAAATCTAAATAGTTTGAACAATGTTATGGCTTCAATTACAGATAAAATGTATTATTGGTAATTTTACTATAAATATGTATTGCTAGTAATTTTTTAGATAAAAATAAATTGCTGATATTTTTACTATCAAAAATTATTTTTATACTTTCATAGTGTTTTGTTATTGTTTGGGGTTCACTATTTGCCCATAGCTGGGACCCTAACAGGTGCTGCTACCCCGGATTTGAGTGAACCTGGGAACAACAGCAATTAAGAGATGGCCCACTCCTCAAAACCCCCAATCTCCCGATCAGAGGCCTTGCTGCCGGATGTTGTTTATCGTCATACCCAGGGGTCTGCGGATTGGTAAAAATAGTTTCTAACTCCTTATAATTTATGATTAATAGAAGCGTCTTCTTGAGGACGAAGGTTTCTTCTCTCGGGATATTAAAAAAAAACAAAAAAAAAACAAAAAAACAACGGGCTCTCTTTAAGGTAAAGTAGATAGCATCTTTGAACATAGCCACTAGAAATAAAACTACTTAAAGCATCGCTTTAGTTAATCTTTAAATATGAAATATTAAGACTTAAGCCGTTCGGGCCTATTTAGAATTTCAGTTGAATGGCTTTTTTCGTTTGGGCATTCATGTTTGTTTTAAAAATATCCTATGTTGATTAACGCATAAGATAGGCTGTGTTTACGTGTGAAAAAACTCTCGTAGAAATTCCTGTGAGAAAGTAAAAAAAAAATGCTTACTTATATTAGACTGAATTATTTTTTATCTGAATTTGCTTATAATTGTAGGTATCTGTAAGAGCAACGTTAGAGGAACTCAGTGAGGATCGATCTCACGGCATTAGTAGACATCTTACTCGTTATCTCCGGCAGGTGGTTGATGTAGGTATGTTCCTAAAACCTCGTCTTACACACTATTCTAACTACATAGGTTTTGTAATACCCGCTTGTAAGAGAGGCCATGTAAATCACAGATACAATAATCGTAACGACTTCGGAAAATACTCGGTCAGACTCCGCTAATTCCTATATATATATATATATATATATATATATATATATATATATATATATATACTTCCTTGGGCATAACCGTGTAATGGTTAGCAAGCTTGTCTTGCTAGAACAATTACGACTGTCCTCACTGGGTGCCCCTTACTTTCGGTCTTGTGCCACATCTAAAGCTACGCTTGGAAAATCACTATATATATTTCTCCTTTACTTGTCACGTGATCTAATTATTTCTAGATAAGGTATGGGCACCCCAAGGCAGTGTAATGGTTAACAAGCTTGTCTCGCTAGAAGAATTACGACTGAATAGTGAGTTCGATTCTCACTGGGTGCCTCATACTTTCGGCCTTGTTCCACATCTAAGCTACGTTTGGAAAATCAATATATTTCTAGATGAGGTCGACTGTGCTTGCTTTCTGGCGATCTGTGTTCAAGCTCAAGTATCGACAGTGACACTTTATTTCTATATGACAATGTAATATCTATCCTCTAGTATGGCAGTGTTTGTTAGCACAATTTCCTTACCCGTGTAGTGAAGACATTAGGCAACAGAAACAAAGAAAAGAGTGCTGAACTTTTATGTATTTTTTAATGTCGTTTGTAGGAGAGACTTTGTAAATCACAGATATAATAATCGTAACGTCTTCGGATAATATTCGGTCAGACGCCGCTAATTCCCACATATATATATATAATGGACTCTCTCGTCGGTTCAGACGTATGAGAATCTGACAGCTTATTGATTAACTAAAATACTAAATATTTAGATTTTTTTTTTTTTTTTGCTGTTAGTTGCTAATGTAGCAAGTTACGCCCGCGTAGGGTGGCTACGATTTGTTTCTGAACAGAAAAGATCTTGGGTTAGGGAAATTTACGACACATCAACATTTGTTGGATTTTTTAATACTGAAATTTGACTTTCATTATACAGGGTAACCCTCCCGCACACACACACAAAAATTGATAACCTTTAAAGTGGGAATATTTGAGTAACTATATGTTACAGGAAAAAACTAAATTGAATAAGTTTCATGTTGAATAATAAAATATTTATTTATCAAAATTCGAAGAAGATATTGAAACGGATATAGATTTTATAACCGATTTTGTAAAGCTTCACAAATGTTCAATATGCCCACCACTTGTGACCCGACACACGCCAAGTTGGTAGACTAGCTCCTGCCAAACACGCTGTAGCATGTCTTGCGTAACATTCTTTCAGAATCTTAGTGATTTGCTGCTTAAGTTCTTCTAGGATTATAGGGATAGTCGGAATTATCATGCTGGAAAGGGTTATTCCTGTGAAATGTAGCGACTGATTAGGCTGGTGTGAACCAAGGAGAAGATTGTGGTTTCACCTGATATTTGCGAGAAGGCACAAAAGCATCAATGACGGTTTTAACACAAGAAGAAACCACCCTGGCACAGTCCTCAATAAGAAGATTAAGAATATGGATCCAATGAGCCTCTCGAATTCAAAGAAATCGTAAGAATAACAACTAATTTGAATAAAAGAACATCGCTTATAATGTGCTAGATCGGCTTTTTAATAAGCAATTATATTCGACCTAATTACAATTACAAGGATGTGTGTTGTGGTGCAATGGATATCGGCTCGGAGTAAGAACTCAGAGAGCCGAGTTCGAATTCCAGCCGAGTTCGTTCGATTCACTTACGCACAAATACCCTTGGGAAAGATATGAATCCATCTCTTCTCCCCCACAACAAATAAATAGCAACACAGACTGGGTTCTTTAGCCTTGTTTGGCAACCAGTCTCTCGCAGAAAGAAGAAATACGGGAAAAATCTGCCTCGTCAGTCGTGTATCGAAAGATACATGATCGCCCAAGCGTGCATCGCGTATGACACATAACTGACTGAATTGCAATTAACAGAAGATAAGTTCGTAACAATAGTTCAAGTGTGGTGATCCGATTGTGCCGTGAGGCCTGAGGTGTACTTGTGAAAATATTGTGAGGTGATTGTATCACTGTTTTAATCAGTTAAGGTTATTCCATTTAGACAAATGTTTTATTCAAATCGTTTCTTCTTTCAGGACCGTGAACGGTAATAGCGACAAAGTGACGACCAAAGAAAATGACTAGCTGGGAAAAAAATTGAATATAGCGCAACCCAAGGTTACACAATAGATTAAAACAACAACAAAAGTTCTTTCTAAAAAAAATGTCCAAACAATAAATGAACACATGTCGGCCATTGGCGTATGTCAAAAAGATCAAAGGAACAACGATCCCCAAACTCGTGCATCTGTAACAAGAAACCCGTCTCTCACCATCGGCAGGTAGCACTAGTCTTGTATGTTTACTGTTTCCCCGTTCTAATCCGGTATTTGAAATAAAATTGAAATGCCTGTTCCCATAAGCTCGGCATTTCGTCGAAACAGGAGTATACTGTAACCGTCTACCAGACGGGACAGTCTTATTGTTTGGGAAAAATTACTAGATTCACAGATAGAATAAACAATATATTATTTTCCACAAGTCGACTAGATTCCAATAATAATAATGATAAATATCCGAGGGTCTCGTGCCTTCTGATTTTAACTGACTGGATATATATATATATATATATATATATATATATATATATATATATATATATATATATTGCTATCCGCAGACAGAATGTTTCTTTGTATCACAGCTCATCAGTGTGGTAGACATCCGATTGTTTCAAGCCAGGATCGAAACCCGACTGATTTGGCATTAGTCGGAGATTTTCCCCCTAAGAGGAAACTAAACTTTTTACGTATTTATTTTGAATAAACATGCCAGTGACTCAGAGAGCTCGATTCATTAAACAGTTTTGCATTATCAGCAGCAGCAATCACTGTTTACAAATCCGCGCTTTCTCTCGAAAAGTGCTTGGCCGAAATGTATTTTTCGGGGGCGTATATATATATATATATATATATATATATATATATATATGTATTTTCAGGGTATATATATATATATATATATATATATATGTGTGTGTGTGTGTGTGTGTGTATTTTTCGGGGGCGTATATATATATATATAGAGAGAGAGAGAGAGAGAGAGACAGACAGACAGAGAGAGAGAGATGAATTTAGTCACATATATAAATTTGCAAATAAGTATTTTATTTAATTTTTGGTGTTAACAAAACGGTGCTCAATGTGGTAATACAGAGCTATAAAGTATATATTAATAAATATGCATATTACCTTACGTCGAAAATACGACGCGGAGTTTCATGTTCAATACAATCTTCAGATATTTATAATTGGATTTTTGAAAATGCTCACAATCATAACGAACAGATCATCCCCATTTTACTGTTGAAATATCTAAATGCAATCGCCACTTCTATCTCAACAATTTATTTTCTCGCACTTACCCGCCTGTGGAACTCTCATCTACTTACTGATAAATCTTCAAAAATTAAATGCAATGTCAATCGCCATCTATCTTCTTGAGCTCTGGTTTTTCCTCAATCCTCCCCATTATCAGTTTTCCCTTTCACTTTCCCTCCCTGTAATCTCTTGCGTATTAGTGACATTCTCGCTTTGCTTGGGGTAAAATGATTTTAAAAAATAATCCTCAATCGAACACTGTCTAAGCGGGCTAGGTTATCCAACCTGACGATATTTCTAACTGAGTGCCGCGTGCAAGGTTATGAGCTGCTTTTATCAAAACCTGTCACCATATCACGCTCATTTGACTGTGCTGCATGTGCCTGGTATACTCTTACCAGACTGGCTGACATCATGGAAATGCTGGGATTAGTATATTTCGTACTCCATCGTCATATCGTTGACGTGTTACTCTCTCACTCATTATTATTATTATTATTATTATTATTATTATTACCTTTGATTTCTGGTGTGTACACATTTCTTTCCGGGTCCCGCCCAGAGACCTAAAGTCAGAAATGGCATCATGACATTTTCCACTAACCAATTAAAAAAAATTAAAAAACACACACATATTTTACATAAATAAAGTTCTTTATAAGGTGTAGGCTGTACTCGTGAGAACAATTTTTTTTGTATTTCTTTAAGGCACGAGCTTCCAGGGATTCCTTCAATGAGTCTATTGGAATCTTTTCCACCTAATCTGAGGGCTCCAACTACAACAGGGATTGTTGATGTTCCCATGTGCCACATTTTTGAGATTTCGACTTCAAGGTCCTTGTATTTTGTTAGCTTTTTGAAGATCTTCAAAGATACGTTGCAGTCTGCAAGGACTGCCGTGTCAATAAGGAGGCAACTGTGTGTGTGTTTTTAAATCTTTTTAATTGGTCAGTGGAAAAATGTCATGATGCCATTTCTGACCTTCGATCTCTAGGCGGGACCCGGAAAGAAATGTGTACACACCAGAAATCAATAGATTGATTGGAAAAGATTCCAACAGAATCATTGAAGACATTGCTGGCAGCTCATGCCTTAAAGAAATACACAAATATTGTACTCACAAGTAGAACCCACACCTTACGAAGGGCTTTCTCTATGTAAAATGTGTGCGATCTTTTTTTTTTTTTTTTAATGCTTAGTGGAAATTGTAATGATGCCATTTCTGACCTTAGGTCTCTGGTTGGGAACCCGGAAAGAAATGAGTATATACAAGAAAACAAAGGAAATAAAACAATAATAATAATAACACCATGACTATGATTGGTTGGTTGATTTTGTTTAGTTGCATATCAACACTTTCATGGGTTATTTAATGCCGAAATCTAATTATTTTGTATATAATTTTATATTTTCAGAGTGAAGGTATTTTTTTTAGATATATGCTTTATAGATTTTAAAATGTGTTGTTAGTAATTTTACTATAAAAATGCATCTTTATATTTTTTTTTTTAGCTGTGTCAGTGATTGTCGTTTTCTTATAAAAATGTATTGTTGCTAATTTTATTAGATAAATGTACTGTTGAGTTTTGTTTCAATCAGACAATTGCTGGGTGGGGGGTTCGTTGCTTTCACCCACGGTGTGAAATTCAGAGTTATTTTTCTAAATTAGCTGCCACCCAAGGCTAGTGAGAACACTCTGCTATTTAATCCATAGCTTGAGGAATATTAGACGGGTAGATAAACAAATAGTCCCATACTTGGCACCCTAACAGGTGCTACCACCCTGGGTCAGGGTAGACCTGGGAACGACAGCAGTTAAGAGGTGGTTCCACGTTCCTCAAAAGCTCTGATCATCACCCGATCAGAGGCCGGATGAAGTTTATCGCCATATACAGGACAAACCATCTCTTGGAAGAATATTAGTAATTATCATTATATTGAATATCTCATTGTACTGCCGTTGTGTAGATGACTTGAATACCAGGGAAAATACTGCCTATCAAAGGCAGACAGTACTTTTCAAAGTATGCTTGCTGTTCGGAACAAGACAGATTTTTTAGCGTTCTCAATGTGTATTTTGCACCAAGTTGGTCTACATATTCTTTAAACTTCAATGGAATAGAGCCAAGTGCCCAAATCACTACCGGCATGACTTTAAATTTTTGCACCGGTATTTTCCACAATCTGGTATTCTCAATCTTCTGTTCAGAGTATTTGTTGATATTTTTGCGGGCCCCGGTGTACACGTAGAGAGACAAACACGCATGCCTCCTGAAATTCCCACAACCAACATGGCAGACTCGGGATATGAGTCCACGTAAGGAAATGTAAAGAAAAAGAACCAAATATATATATATATATATATATATATATATATATATATATATATATATATATAGAAAAAAATATACGAAAAAACAAACAAAAAAATCCTAATATGCAATTATGCTGTTTTAATGTTAATATAATGTCAACGTCGGACGTTTCGGTCTAGTAGACCATCTTCAGGACATTTTCATAAAACATAATTAACATTAGACTATATTTAATTCAACATGAAAAGACGATAGACATAAGACTGGTATTTATTCATACAAAAAGTACAAATTGTGGCACGAGGCCAATAAAGGGGAGGGTTAGAGGCTGATCAACATTAACTATCTTATACCTAGCTAATCAGATTCGCGACCCATTCGTACATTACATTTTACCCATTCACCAAAAGAACTCGTCCATCACCAAACAATCCTTCAACCACCATAATACCACGTGCTCTCAAGGGAGACCTACCAAAATCGCGCCCCATGCCATAAAAATTTTAATGATGATATATATATACAATTCTAATAATGATAAAATGAGAGGGGAGGGAAATGAACCCAATAATAAACTTAAAAGAGTAAGACTAATCAAAACAGACAACTGAAATCTTTCAAGATCAGCGTTCCGTTTCAATATGATCACGTGGGCGTCATGTGGGCGATGTTGTGAAAACGTATTCCTAAAATATAGTATTTTGAATGACAAACAAATGATAATGTATTAACAACAAAGGATTACAAGTGACAAAGACAATAATGTGTGTGACAATGAATGGGAAATCTATTTGGGTGCCAAGTATGTGTAGTGAGTGAATGTGCGTACGTACGTGTGTGTGTATGTATTGTTCCTGCTTTTCCCAAAAGAGAACGCGATCTTCCGCGAGAGATTTACATGTTGTCGTATAAGCGGAAAAGTAAGAAGAGTGATACAATTTTATCGCAGAGTATTTATAGTCCTGAAAGCGTCACCTAGTAGTGGTTTCGAAAATTAGGTGGTGATAACTCGGCAATTAGTGAGTGCGACAATCTTTTCTATTTGCTTTGCTTTTATATTGTAGTCAGCAATTTATGACCACATCAAATATTCCGCAGTCATTTTCAGTTGTGTTGAGGATCAATATATCTGGTCTTCTGTGTTCAATAGATCTTTATTATTGTTATTATTATTATTATTATTATTATTATTATTATTGTTGTTGTTGTTGTTGTTGTTGTTTTATTTCCTTCGTAATAATCCCATCATTTTATAAAAGTTTATTTTTATAATGACGATTATTTATAGATTTATAAAAATTATAGTTAATTATAGAAATTATTATAGAAATTATTATAGAAATGTATTAATTTATAAATAAGTTTATAACCACTTAAACGTATTCCTATACGTAAGCATAAATATAATTATTTTAATGCTCTGTCCTCAGAACTTTCATGACTCTTTACTATCTATCAATTGACAATCAGACGATTGCTTGGTGGCGGGGTGGGGGGGCTTTTTCGTTGCTTTCACCCACGGCGTGGAATTCAGAGTTATTTTTCTAAATTAGCTGCCACCTAAGGCTAGTGAGCACACTTTGCTATTTAATCCATAGCTTGGGGAATATTAGACGGGTAGATAAACAAATAGAGCATATTTCGATGATAGTGTTCATCCCATCATACTAGCTGAAGTACTCGTCTACATAGGATATGTTTTGGATTGATTGACTGATCTTTTTTTTTTTTTTTAGTATTTATCAAACTTTTGTGGGTTATTTAAAATCGAAACCTATTTCGGATTGTACGTCGCTTACAGTATCCGGTGTTTCCATGTACCAACACCCACCCAATCTAAATACAGACCGAACTCGAAACTGGTTTAATTCGGTGATCGAACGATGTTTTCAGCATGATTTGACCGTAGGCACACTTGGTATTTGTTTTTAGAATGACTATAATGGCCGGTCCAATGGCATCATTGGCGAATCGATGATACCCCCCCCCAATGGAAGATATGCCCCCTGCACCGAATCTAAAATACGAGGACAACACTCTACATCACAATTTTCATAAGTTAGCGAGCGTTCCAAAGCACGGCCTTATATCCCCAATCAGGCTTGTACCTCCCCGGTTTGGAAGAGGGGTTGGAGGTAGTACGCACCTGCCTTGATACCAGTAGAGCGATTTCTTATGTACTTATGGGTAGTTGGCCTGCTCAATGAAACAAAGAAAACGTAATTAAATTCACTGTGTATAATTGCTTAAGCAAGGTGAAACCAGTGACATGCATAACTAAGAAACGTTGATTATACAATCTTTGTTGCTGATGGAAAAATTGTTATCGTCATTATTTCAGAGTCGTCGAGTTCCATTTCCAGCAACACCGGTCATGAGCACTGACGCTGTATTAAGATTACAGTAACTGCCTAAAAGAAAATACCAAATACATTTCATTTGTTTTTTTTGTGGGGTTGGGTTGGGGTTAATGTTTCTAATGAAGAAATTGTATAAAAAGTGGCAAACATAGGTCGGGTAGAGGAGGGGAATCGTTCTGTCAAATTACTTTTGTGAAGCATACAAATAATTTTTTTTTATGATCGGATATTAATAATAAAAGAGAAATTGTAATCTTACACCGAATGCTTATAGACGGTAACGTTCCCCCATGGGGGAAATTTATTTTTAAGGCTTAAATGTTCCCTTGGGTCCAATAAGTATGCGCACCAAATTTGGGGGTTCCGCATGAGAGAGTTTGGCCCTATATAACGAACAACAAAAAAAATTATATATATATATATATATATATATATATATATATATAGTGTAACCCGGATATAAAGAGAGTTGTCGGGACCGGAGAAGTCTCTTATATCCGGGTTTCTCTTATATCCGGGTTTGGTCTATTTTATATACATTAACACAGGCTCAAATTTGGGACCAGAGAAAATCTCTTATATCCGGGTTTCTCTTATATCCGGGTTACACTGTATATATATATATATATATATATATATATATATATGTGTGTGTGTGTGTGTGTGTGTGCATGTGCGTGTGTGCGTGTGCGTGTGTGCATGCGAGAGTGTGAGTGTGGAAAGAAAGAACGAGTGTGGACATAGAATTCAACACTGCATGATGGCGAATGGCCGTTACACGATTAAACTGATCTTCAGACTATGTCAGTTCATTTCTATGTCCACACTGTTTATATCTATACAATTCCCCATCCCCGACATTGTGCACACTTCGCCTATTGTCTGATGATCGCGTAAACAGCCAATCCCCATCCAGTGTTTATTTCCATCTCCTCCTTATATATATCTATATACCCTCTATCCGTGATATCAAGCACTCTTCCGCAATAAATCTATTCAATTTTAAACACTATAATGATAGATAGATAGATAGATAGATAGATAGATAGATAGATAGATAGGAACAGATTGAGATGGATAGATAGATAGGAACAGATAGATAGATAGATAGATAGATAGATAGATAGATAGATAGATAGGAACAGACTCTCCTTTTTTTTCATTCAGAGTTTCCGTCTCTTAGACATGCTGTCACAGAAGAACAGAGAGCCTAGTCTAACCTGCTATTTAACCCATAGCTAAAGGAGACATACATATACATAAATTTAAATGAATTCCTGCTATTACAATTACAGCGTTGTTTTTATAATATTTATTTTTATAATCATAATTATCATAATGCTTATAAATTTATCAATAAAATTATAGCAACTGATAAAGGAAAATAATGTTTAGCACATTGACTTTTTATTATGACGCCGATCACGAGTTATCTTGTCTTTGTGCTCTTGCCGCCAAGCCGCCAGATTTTTTCGTTGTTCCTAACGCAAAAAAAAAAAAAAAACAGGTACCTGGCGTCTTAGGCAGGAATTAAAAAAAAAAACATACTGTCAATAAAAATAAAATCTTTATGGGAAAAAATTATTGAAAATATAACACATAAGCGAATTGGCTATTATACAGGGTGTCCCTAAATGCATATTTTCAAGGAATTAAATTTTCAGTAACATTTTATTGAATTGTAATATTAAAAAAATAAAAACATCTTCATATGATTTCCATCATTTGTGATGCAAAGGTTGGTGCGATTTGCAAGATACAAGTCAACTCGATGCAATAACTCCACATTGCCGACAATTTTAGCATATTCACCCTCTTTATGCGTTCAATCAAATGTGTTGCATCTGTGATTTTCATTGAGTACACCTTCTCTGTTTAGCATGCCCCAGAAAAAGAAGTCAATTCTATCTTCTTTAGACAAAACCATGTTTAAACTGTGGAGGTAAAAAAAGATATAGTTCATGAGATTTCCTGTATCTAGACTTTAGGGACACCTTGTACAGTTGGCGTTTTGAAGTTAGATTTCGTAATTAACAGTCAACATGTTAATCGATTTTTTAATTATAAATTAGAATTAATAATCGAGGTATTTCAGTAATAACAACTACCTTATATTTTCTGTTTATATTTCTGTGCAATTAGGGCTCGGTGGCTCTGGAAGAAACGGGTAACAAGACTCAATACTCCATCTTTTTTTTTTCCATATTGTTATTTCATTATCTAGTTTTAACACCATTATTTTCTTTCCGTTAAATCAAGCGATGGTCAGTCCTCTCAATGAATCCAGAACTCTCCTCAAACTTCTTGCTAATTTTATCAATGCCGTTTTCTGATTGGTTTAAATTCCAGGCATTGTTTTGTATTTTCAACTCCAAGTGACTCACCACGCCATCCAATCACGACATCCAATCACAAAACCATTAATTTCCAACCAAAAGCTACATGGCCCTAGAGGGTCATGTCAAATTTCAGGTG